AGACCGGGAAGTTCTTGAATTTATTTGTGCACAAAAAAACACAACAACTTCCTGTCTCGTTATAATTCAGTCAATTCAAGGTGGCTGCTCGACCTGTTCCCACAAAACAATCCCATAAATGAGCGTGCACTTAATTTGGGCCCCAGGCTATCACTCTTTAATGTGCCTGGGCTGTTTTGCAGACGGACTTACAAAAAGTTTAGTTCCGTCTTGGAGTAAGCTAGCACACTTTTGGCCTCTGAATTGCGCTATTGAGAGTGCCCTGCATTGCAAACAAAAATCCGGATACAAAGAAAAAAATTCCACCCCTGAGAGCGGATCAAACTAAAAAGTTTCGGATTCGATCTTTGGACGTGGACATTTGCCCATTGCAGTATACGCGGTTTAAATGCGTTACAGGCCATCTAATTATCCAATGATCTTCCAGAATTTCGTAGGGCGCAGAAAGGGTTATAGAGAGGTTTCCAAACAGGGATCGAAAGAAAATTCGCGATCGATCTGGATTTGCATTGCTTCGCTCGAGATTGGCTAAAAAAAAAAGCCACGCCACCTTTTAAATAAAAACAAATAAACAAACAAACAAACAAATCCAAACGCTTGTCATGGGTTAAAAAATCTCGTGCCTCTGTCTCTACTAATAGAAGTAAAACTGCGTACGAGTTTTCCTGCGATTTCATTGTCCGAGGAAAAGGAAATCCGTTTAAAACTTTCAATTGGTTGAAAGAACGGGTATGAATAAATAAACAGAAATGGTAAATTTTAAGCTGGGTGAAGAAATGAGAAATGATGTGATCAACACGTCACGGTTATGGGACAAAGAAAAAATCTGAGTCCATGACAGGAATTGAACCTAATATATAGATTTAGCCAGGGCTAAAAGCGAAACTGTCGATAATATTTATAGTTTGTTCAAACAAAATATAACTGAAATCGTGTAATGCTAAGCGGCGAAGGCAACGCTGGAAAATTACGCCGGAAAACGGTGAAAAATTAGTAGAAAAGCAACGTTGCACGTGTAGCACACTTTTTTTTGTACATTTCTTTGCCATTGTTTTGCACGACTACAACGTGAAACTTCCAGAAACTTCTTAGGGCCTGTTTACAAGTAGCCTCCCACCCAGGCGTTTTTAGGGGAGGTCGTTTTTCATCCCTCCCGCTTGCGTGGGAGGCTAGTTTACAAGGAAAGAGGGTTACCCTTTTGCTAGGGTATACTCTAGCAAGCAGGTCAAAGTTAGCTCTGGTTTACAAGCAAATTTCACAGGTAGGGTTACCCATCACCCGGGTCAACTTTACAAGCTTTGCTGACGTGTTTCATCGTGCGTGATACTCTTTGTATCACGCATGGGTAACGTGGGTAACCCGCTTGGTAGGGTGACCCTAGCACCAGGGTTACCCTCCTCCTTGTAAACAGGGCCTTCGTTGCACGTTTTATGGAGGAAATGTCGTAGGTGTTATCGTTAACTTTTTTTCACTGCCGCTCATGGTGGCCGCTAGAATTTCTCACTTTGTCACGGCCGCTACAAAATTTTTATGTTGTTCTTCGAAAAAAAAAAAAAGTCTCCGTTGTTTTTATCTCTCGCTCTAGATCTCTGTCGTCGTTTTTCTCTTTGAGTTTCGCTGGCCTGCCGCCTACTTTTTCGTTTTCTCTGTCTTTCTTTTTCTCTCTATATATTTCAAATTTGTGGACATGACAATTAATCTAGGCTTAATACTTTAGACAACACGGATACAGAAACAATTTACGCTTTCCTTTTTCGTCTTTATTGACTCTTTAGTTTGTCTCTGCGTTACAAGACGCCGGCGGCTATGCGATTCCCGCCAAAATAACCTCGAGTTGCGTTTGGGTTGCCATACCTGTTGAGCTATTTTACATTGGTATGCCTGTGGTGCGGACGGACGGTCGGGCGGCCGGGCGTACGGTCACGTGATTACCAAATTTTCTCGGATGGGTAGATTACTTCATTTTCTCACCCGTGGTACTCCGCTTCGCGCGCGAGAGCTCCGCTTTGACCTTCCGTACACAGATCGGATGCTCTAACCACTGAGCTACACACGGCTATGAAATTACAGAGTTTGACTGAGAAAGAACTCGAAGAACTCAAAAGATATGGAAGAAAGTAAACAGGATTCTACTGTACTTACTTCAGCTCAGGCCACTTAAGGCATGACTACCTAATTAAATATGCATATTTTAGTAAATGCTATTTAGAACGGTTTGCTTCCATCAGTGCTCCTGAAAAGTGAACTGCAAATGTGTCTCAACGAAAAAAACACGTGAAACGTGATTTCAAATAACACGTGACATCGTTTCGTCAATGACGTCACAAAACACGTTTTCCTAAATGGGGAAGGGTTACAAACCTTAATCTTAGGAATTTTCACATAAACAGTGTTACATAAACAGTATAAATCTTAAGTTCGCCTTGTACGATTGGAAATGGTATTTATCCTATTAGTTATTTAACTAATTAATAAGTCATGTGACCCTTTATTTACCAATTCCTATATAACGTAAACACACATACAAGGCAATTTTATAAGAACTTTTTTAATAGCCTCTGAAATGTACCTTAAAGAACTTGTTGCTCTTTCATTATCCTTTCCCCATTTTAGAGTAAATATTTTGACCGTTAATTCTCAATTATCAGTCACGTGACGAGAATTTGAGCGTCTACAATGCACTCATATTGCTATGGCCATTAAGCTACATTTGTAGTTCAATTTTCAGGATCATTGATAGAAGAGAACTCTTCTAAATAGCATATTTTATCACAATATGCATATTTAATTAGATAGTCATGCCTTAAGTGGCCTGAGAGTGCTGGATTTAATTGGTTGATTAGTTTTCTGCCACTTTTCCTTGTGGCCACAGTAGTTTCATAAACCAACTAAATGTTATGGTTACACTACACAACCATGTGTTTTTCCCACCTTATGGCCAATACCTTCCACACGCGCACAATTATATCACCCGTGGCTGCCCTGGACAGCTGTTTTGCCCTCATGTGGGCTAACCAGCATGGCATAGCCGTCAGGCCCCTGCACGGCTAAGGCCTTGTTCAGGTGCCTTTGGAATTCGTTTACAGTTTCTGTCTGAAAACAGATTTACTCTCTTAAGCTACAGTTCTTTCTTTCTCTCTTCAGTACATTGTCCTTTCTCTGCAAAACCAATGAGCATAGAATTTATAAGAAACAATTTAAATCTTGTAAAGCAATCATATGAAGCTCTCTCGGCAAAGAGCTTCCATTCAGGCCAGCTTTTTTCGGACCACACCTTGGTGAATCCACCATGTTCTATCCATAATAGAGTTTCTCGGTCACAGCGGCATCCATTGTGTGTGGTGGGCCAAAAATGTGATTTGGATACGAGCTGTTGAAGGACATATTGGAGTGTCCAAGGTTTTCCTTTTTGAAAAATAAAGAATATGTTATACTTCAGAGGAGGGATTGATAACAATAACAACACATTATTAGTCACTGAACAGCTGTCACTAATGGCTCAGTCAATTCCAAGCGTGCCCATCCCCCCAGGGCATTTGATCAGATTATTATCAGATTACCTATAACTATGGTATTTGCAGCTTATTTACTGGAAAATGCAATTTTGGGTTTGTTCCGGGGTGGGGCATTTGCACCCAATTATTTTAAGCCCCACTGTGTGGTTTTAGTGCGAACGCCTGGCCCCACCATGGGGTATTTGCAGCTTTTCATATTTTTTATCATAGTTTCAATTGAGTTGAAATATTCCATGAATAAAAGAATTGAAAACGAAACGTACAAATTTGACTGTGTGTAACAAACGTTTGTAGTGAAACCATCGGCCTGAAGACTATTATGAGGAAACAGGGTTCTGTGCTGCCCCAGATACCAACCTGCCACATGTTCCATAAAATAAAATCGTCCACCCTGTAAAAGACCAGAAAATCAAACTTCTTACTAAGCATAGCCATACATATTGGGGAAAGAAATAATAAATAAATAAATACATAAATAAATAAATACATAAATAATTCTTCCACACAAAAAAACATTTCAAACTTCCAACACTTCACACTCCAGAAGAAAAAAGTGGGAGGGGGGGGGGGAATTTGGGTTTC